TAAATGTATATCTTTAAAATACAAATTATATTTTTTATTTATAATAAATATTTTATATTGTGATGCAAAGTTATTTTTAACTATTTTATATTTAAAAAATATAAATATTTTTAAGAAATAAAACTAAAAATATATTGAGAGCTAAACAAAATATATGAGATAATAACAACTCTTAAAAACGCTTTAGTTTAAGAAAATTTAATAAAAAAAATACGTTTTATTGAAAAGTAATTACTAATGATATATTAATATTTATATTCAAAATAATTATTCTAATTTATATACGTGCAGAAAGAGTTTAATTAACTCCTAAACTTTAGGATTAAATTTCAGAATTCAAATAAGCATCAACATTGTATATACGGTTAAACAGCTAATTAACGAGGAGAAGCAAGTCAAAGTTCTCAAAATAATGTTATCCCCCACAACACTAGTATTAAAGGTGTTATTTTATTTTATTTTTTTTAGAAAACAAATAATATTAATTTGAAACCAATCACTGTACAAGGCGACCAAATTAAATTTGAAGAGAAGAAGCAAGGCATGAATTTTGCAAATTCAACACAATCCCAACAAGAAAACAAACCCTCATGTTTCTACAAGTCACTATGTTTTCTTGTTGAGAGAATCAACCTGAGAACTCTTTTCCTTGATATTGAAACATCTTTTTCATTCATATTTCAGTGAGATGAAGATTAATTGTAAAAGAGCAAGCTTCCATACATATTAGTTTTAGTTACATACCTACACGAGTTGGACTGATGTTTTACACGCACAAATGCACAGGATATCTCTTTTTTGTGAACCCAGTTAAGGAATGAAACACGAGGTTACGTCACTAGTACTGCATGTTGGAATAATTAGGAGAAAATAGAAGAAAATCAGTTTCAGACGTGTCAAATGACATTTTCCTTTAAGAATTATAACCCCACACAAGATAAACTTTAATAAAACAAAAGAGGAAAATAAATACTGTATTACTTTAAGAGGTCAATATTCCCGATAGGCATGCCATATTGCAATTACCCAATGAACCATGCTATTATAATCATGACATACCCGATACATATTACATAATATCAATCATCCAAACATACGCCAGAAACTCGAAATAGAGCTTGATGCGCCTTGCATGTTGCAATGTATAATATATGGCGAAAAACAGTGTAAGAATTTGTATCAACAGCGAAAATACCAAAAAATGAAATTGGCAGTTAGGAGTTTCAAACGCATCAACCAGGAGAAAAAACCACAGATTTCTACAGTTGGAAACTACAAAGCATTTCATTAGCAACTTTCCCAGCACTTGGTTTTTTTGTTTTTTTTTGTTCTGTACCCTCAACTTATTGGTGAGAGACGGATTTTTTTGCAATACTATGACTGTTGCTGGCTTGAAAATATTTTGTATACAGTAAATATTGAACACAAATTCTTTATTAAATAAATTGTCTTCATAATGTGTGAATACAAAGTGTCTAAGTACTTCGTCAGCTCAACCATCAAGTTAGCACAACAGTCATATGAAAACATTTTAAATGTTGAAAAACAATAATACATTTAGACACCCTCAACTCTTTGCTTCCACAATTCAACTAGGTTCCAAAATGTCACTTTTTCTCACATAAAATATATACATTCCATTAAACACACAGTTCAACTAAAATTAATATCTATTTATGAAGGTCAAGCAGCAGCTAACTGAGAGCAGGAAAAAGGGAGGAAGGATCGGGGCGGGAAATCAGAAATTTGCTAGAGGTTTTACACATACACATAAATAAGATGCTTGACCATAACATAATTTGATTTCAATACCATCTCAGGATAATCAACAAGCAGAAACTGGCAAAAGTAACTAACATTACCGTAGCAAGTTCAGAATAAAAATAATCCAGATTCCCATCCATAGTTTTAACTAAGAGTCAGTTCTTATCGATCTATGATATATTTTGTTGCTTATAAATGAGGCTATATTGCAGAAGAAAATCTAGTTATACCTGCAAAATTCCAATATGGACTCAACTTACTAAAGTACCCATCTGTTATAGTAAAAAAAAAATACATTTCAAAATTGTCATGTAACTTTGGCACCTTCTAAGCATATGTAATATACAGTTGAACACAAAATTAAACTGTATACGGTCATCATGCTACCAGTAGTCCCCGCATGAACAAGTCCCCTTACTAAAATGGTGAAAACGATTTGCATCCCTAACAATTATGGACCTTCTCATAATGGCTGAAACCATCTTACTAAATGTATGGCAATCACCACAGACCCTCAAATTTTTAGAGATCCTTATGGGTTCACCCTCAGGGATTCCAATTAGACCAAATGCAATAGCCAACTTTTCACTATGTGTATACAACATTTCTTTCTTAACTTCCTCCTCGACATCTTGCAACACAAAATCTGTATCAGGTACATATCCAGCCATCTCCAACTTCTTAATCAAACTCATCAACATTTCATAGATTTCCTTTGATTGAGGATGGGATCTATCTCCGACACTAAACTGATAGGTTTTGTCATCCACTTCAATCCATGTCCATCCAGGAACTTTTTTCAGCTTCCTTTGGGACATCATATCCCTAAATTTTGCCACCTTTTCCCACTTACCAGCTTTTGCATAAATATTAGATAGCAACACATAGTGCCCTGGATTTTGTGGCTGTAGTTCAAGTAGAGAATTGGCAGCCTTCTCTGCCAACTCCATGTTCCCATGAATTCTACATGCCCCAAGCAAAGCACTCCACAGCCTCTCATCTTTTTCAACATTCATAGCCTCAATTAACCGTAAAGCCTCATCTAGCCTCCCAGCACGGCCTAGAAGATCAACCATACAGGTATAATGTTTGACATCAGGGGTAACAGCATGTTCTTCCCACATAGAATCGAAGAACCGAAGACCCTCTTCAATGAGTCCTGCATGACTACAAGCATATAAGAGGGACACAAAGGTGACCCTGTTCGGCAATATTGCACAGCTCAACATCATATGAAACAAACCAATGGCTTCCTGCCCCATCCCATGATAACCGTATGCAGCAATCATGGCACTCCAAGAAACAACATTCTTTTCTTTCATCCTATCAAAAACCTCTCTTGCAGACTCAACACTCCCACACTTTGCATACATATCAATCAGTGCGGTCCCCAATATCACATCCAAGGAGAAACCATTTCTCACAATGTATTCATTAACAAACCTAGCCCTGTGCATAGCCCCCAGTTTAGCACACGCGTTGACAACAGTCACCATAGCAACCTTATCAGGAACAACACCTTCTTCCCTCATCCGATCAAACAAGACCAATGACTCATAGGCATTGCAATCAGCATAAGCACCAATCATCACCGTCCATGTCACGAGGTCCTTACTGAGCATTCTCTCAAACAACCGCTGAGCATCCTCAACCACCATGCACTTGGCATACATGTCTACAAGGGAGGCACAAACAAAGTGATCCAAATGCAACCCATGTTTCAAGACCACATCATGGATCACACGACCCATTTGAAGGTCCTTTGTGTCTCTGGAAGTTCTTATCACAAAAGGCAAAGTGTAGTTGTCAGGTGTAACACCACATCTCAGAACCTCCCTGAAGGTAGCATAGCAACTTGCATGGTCTCCAACCTTGGCAAATCCACCAACCATGACACTCCAAGTTTTGGGGTCTCTCATTGTCAATCCATCAAACAGAGAGTATGCATCACTAATGGCCCTGTGTTGTGCATAGGTGTAAAGGAGCTTGTTTGCAACAACCAGGTCTTGGATTGTTCCGTTGACTAATACATTGGCATGAACCTGTCTGATATGGAAAACGTTTCTGCATCTCAACAACAGGTCAATACAAGACTCTGCTCCCATTGAGTATCGCTGGTTTTAAGTGTTTTTTTTTTTTCCTAGTGGCTGGTAGCAAATAAACAAAAGTATGCTGACTAAAAGTTTGAAGTGACAGTCTCAAAGGAGCATCTGAGTTCGTAAATAATTAGGAAAGTCCTAAGTCTCAATACAAATATATATGTAAGTGGATAAGACCAACATGGGAAAGTTTATAATCTATTAGATAACCGATATTCTCATGTACACATCTTTTTAAGGATAATTTTATTTTTAAATTTTTAAATAATAAAAAATAATATTAAAAATTAATTATCTTTGTAAATATCAGACTTGAACATAAGAGTTTAAATTCTAAATACCAAATACAGCATTAGTAATAATAATCATAGTATAAAATATTTATAATCAACTGTTTGGAATCTTTGGATAAATGACTCTTAATTGTGTTTTTTTATTTTTTTATTTTATTATTATTTTTTATATATCTAACAACAACTAATGCTTGTGGGGTTGGATAAGGGACTTTAATGAATTATTTTTAATCTGATTGATTTTAGTGTATCTATTTAGCTCATTTTCACCTAAAATTTTATTCCTTCTTTGTTAATGGAAGTTGTCGGAACAATAATTTTTTCCATCTTTACTGAGCGGAGAGGGCGATTTGATTCCCACATCAGTTTAGAGTATTTCTTTAACAAAAAAATCAAACAGTTGCGGCACGTCGAGGTAACAGTTTTTCTCTCTTTAAGCATATTTTGTTTATAATGAACCAATTTATTTATTTATTTATTATTATTATAGTGATCAATCTATGCTCAAATGAACCCCAAGCGTGTGATTTAGCACTAGGGATTGATCTACGCTTAAGCAAGGTCAGGGAGTCGAATCCTGCCTTGTGTATGCAGCCTCGTTAAATATTGGAGTCAACTATCTCACTCTTTGAGGTGCCTCCAATCCTGGATATTCCAGGAACGAAAAAAAAAATCTATGTGTTCTTACCGGAAATCGGTCGTAGGGGACAATCTGCTGGGTAAGATCGGTGAGCTTCCTTCACTGGTACATTTGATGCTTCAAGACGGGGGTGGTACCTGCAAAAGAGACTCCGATGTTAAAGTTAGTGTTTGTGGATATATGAGTCTCGTATAAGTAGTGCACGTACCTGAGTATGAATTAGGGTTTTGTTGGGCCTTGGGCCTAAGATCAGTTATGACCTATTTGAATGCCGGGCTGACGTCGAGGAGATGTGACCTCTCGCGTGCGCCTGTCTGTCACGTTGCCATGGCATGGTGGTACGGGTAGTACACTAGCCCCCGAGCTCCGAAGACCGTGGGTTGAGGAGTTTAGACCGAGCTCGTCAAGGAGTAGTGACCCTTCGCGTACGCCTACCTGTCAAGGCGCCATGTGACATAACTGTCGCTTCGTTCTCGAAAACGTGTAGGTGGCGTGTTAATGAGGAGTGACGGTTATGTAATGATGGCCGTGCTTGCCATAATGGGCCTCATTAAATGTGTCGCCAGTTTTGCCCCCTGGCTGACACGTGTTGTGGCTGTTTGAATTTTTGGGGGAAACCTTTTCTTTCTCTCTCGCGCCCCTTCCCATTCACTTTACTCTTTTCACTTTTTCTTCCTCCTTGACTTCTTGTGCACGCTGCTCCCTGCGCCTTTGTTTCTGCCATTCCCGTTCTCGTTTTCTTTGCCTCCGTTCTTCTCCGTCGCCTTCTCCGGCAACCGGGCTTTCATTCCCCGATTTTTGTTCTTCCTTTGTCCAAGGAGTACCAGGTACTTCTATTTCTTTAAGTTCTCCTTCTTCTAAAATCTCTTCCATTTCTTGATGGCTGGTAACAGTGGTGCCGCTTGTTCTGCACCTGCCAAGGGCAAGGGTAAGGCGCGCGACAAGACGGTGGCTACCGGGGTGGCCGCCGTCGAAAAGAAAAAGGCGGAGAACCAGCCCAAAGAGCCCATCCCCGGCATTCCGGGCTACGACTGGGTCAGGAGTGACGTGGGTGAGTTGCAGAGTGTGTTTAGGTCGTTCCTGGAGATCAATGCGATGCGAAAATCGCATAGGATCTATGATTCGTCCGTCTCCAAGTTCATCCAGCTCGAGCCTTGTCGGCCAGATGAGCGCGTCTATATGGGGGGTCCTTTTGATCCTCCTTTCTTTTATGTGTACCAGTGTCTTTTTAGGGATTTAGGCGTGTGTCTTCCTTTTTCTCAATTTGAGTGTGATTTTTTGAATTTTATCAACACGGCACCTTGCCAGTTGCACCCCAACAATTGGGGTTTTTTGCGGGCTTTTCAAGTCTTATGCTCGGCCTTGGGGATAGAGGTGTCTCTGCCCGTTTTTCTCCATTTTTATCAGTTGAAAATAGGTGTTCCGCCTTACGGCCTTATGTCCCTGAGTGGGAGTAAGTCTGGGGGTTTATTTTCCCTTTACTCCCAATCGTATAAAAATTTTAAGCAAGAGTTCTTCCGGGTGGCGCTTGTGGGTGTCAACCCGTTGGAGGATGGGGTATTCTATTTCGGCAGGTTGCCGAAGTTCCCCTTCTATTGGTGGCCGACCCCGGCTAGGTTTCACGGAGTGGGGGAGTTGTAATTGTCGGCCTCGGATACCACCGCCATTGCAAACCTTGAAGCGCTCCCTCGTCCGCTGGATTGCAAGCTCGTCTTGTCGCTTGCCGACTCGGCGTACAAGGAGAGGGGCTTAGAGAGTGAGTATCTCGTCTTTCTTTTTAGGGTTTGTAAGAGTTTCTGTTACTAATGTATTTGCTTTCTCTTGTTTGTAGGAATAATGGGCAGAAAAAAGTGGCGCGAGTTGAAGCATCGCTACAACGTTGCCGAAATTGAGGTTCCCGAGCCTCAAGAGGAAGAGGTGGCCCCCCTGGAGACCCGAAGAAAAAGAAAAAGGGTAGAAAAGGAGGTCGGGGGGACCTCTACCCCTCGAGATGCTGAGGAGGTGACCTCCAAGGCCACTGATGCCGATGTAGTCGACCTTACTGGGAGTTCTCTGCCTGAAGGAGCTCCCCAAATGGTGGTTGAGGAAGGAGCTCAGGTTGCTGAGTAGGCTGCCCAGGCCACCGAGGTGAGTGCCTTGCTTTTTATCTTTTCTTCTATCCTCTATTTTTTTGTCCTTTGCCTTAGGAAGAAAGTCTTGTCTTTTGCAGGCAGGGAATGTTGCTGAGGTCCCGGTGCCTTCGAGTTCGGAGGTGCCAGGGGCGGACCCCCCGTTGCCGAGCAGGAGGCGCCTGCCTCTGCTTCTGCCGAGGCCCGCGGCAAGGGGCCCAGCTGCGAGGTCCCGACTTCTACTCCAGCGACTTCGGTGCCGCCGTCTGGCCAGTCGAAGGGGGCCCCCAAAACCCAATATCTCGCCCAGCGCTTCGTGAAGGGTTCCTCCCAGGTACGGTTGGACCATGTGAGCGCTTTGGAGGACATAGAATCTTTATGTAGTGCGGGTGTAACCTCGGAGAAGTTCTTCTCCAGGAGTTCGCTGAGCACGAATGATCAAGCCATGATCGAGTCGGCCGGGCCTGTGAGAGGTCTTGATTCTTCTAAGGTCTTCCTGCAGAGGACGATGGCCATCGTGGATCATTGGAAACACAAGTGGGTCAAGCAGCAGGAGGACTTGGCGAAGCTGAAAGGGCGAGTCCAGCCTTTGAAGGAAGAAAACAGGGCATTAGTGGCTGCTCTTGGCGACGCCAAGATGCAAAATGAGGCCGAGTTTCAGGCTACCAGGAAGGAGCTGGAGAGAGTCCAGAAGTCTTTAGAAATTGCTCTGAGGTCTAATGAGACTTACGCTGCTCAGGTTCGTGAGTTGCAGGAACTCGCCAGCTCTTCTCGGGCTTGAGTGCACGCCTTGGAGGACGAGGTCACCTCGTAGAAGGTTGAATTGGTGGCGGTGGCTGAGAAGCGTCTTTGTGATGAGGTCCTTCTCGGTGGGAAAAAAGAGGAGGTTTCTGCTTTGAAGGTGGACCTCGCGAAGTTGGAGGTGGCGAAGGCGGGGCTGGAGAAGAAGCTTGAGGAAACTGAGCAGGCTGTCGTGTTTGAGCACAAAAGGGGATTCCTCAAGGTAGCTCGCCAGGCGAGGCTACTCGCACCGGGGTTCGACCTCTCCGCCATGCATGTGGAGAAGAAGGTACACTTTGGGAAGCTGGTGAAGGAGGACGACCTCGAGGACAACTCAAGTGAAAATGCCTCCGCCTAGGCCGCTTTTGTAATATCTTAGTTTAGTTTTCTTTTCTTTGAATTCGTGTATTGAACTCGTGAAATTGTTGTATATATATATATATCGTTTTTTTGAGATTTCGATGGTTCTTCTATTTTTGAACTTGTGTGTTTTACGCTTGTGCGTTTTGTGCTTTTTCGGGGCTCAAACTTGGCCTGATGTGAATAATTTGTCCTAAGGTTTGAACTCGACCTTTAGCTTAGAATGAAATAAATCGTACCAAGGTTCGGACTCGACCTCAGTGTAAAGCAGAATAAATTGTGCCAAGGTTCGAACTCGACCTCGGCTTTAGAGTGAGATAGATCGTGCCAAGGTTCGAACTCGACCTTGGCTTAGAGTGGAATAAGTCCTACTAAAGTTCGAACTCGACCTCGATTTGACGTAAGGTAACTCTTACTAAGGTTCGAACTCGACCTTAATTTGACGTAAGGTAACTCTTATTAAGGTTCGAACTCGACCTCGGGTTAAGAGTAATATGGATTATATCAAGGTTCGGACTCGACCTCGGGTTTAAGCGAAACGTATTAAGGTTCGAACTCGACCTTGTCTAAGAGCGAGATATGTCGGCGTAAAGTGAAGTAGATCATGCTAAGGTTCGGATTCGACCTCGGATTCAGCCTAAACCATCTTATGGTAAAATAATGTAAAATTAAGAAAATATGAATGGAAAAGAATGAGTTATTTTATTGATTGTATATATGTGCCTCGTTAAAAACCCTTTCAGCGAAAACCCATTTTTCTATTTTTTGAGACAAAAAGCTGAGGCGGGAAAAGAGTGCACAACTCATTCTTACAAGTTCAGCTGAAATAGAATTTAAGATGTGTGGCGTTCAAAGACCGCGGAATAACTTTGCCGCTGAGTTCTCCTAGCCTGTATGCCCCATTTTCTAAGTCTTCTACAACTCAGAATGGGCCACCCCAGTTGGGTGCAAGCTTTCCATCTGATGCGTCTTTTCGTGCTTTGCCTAACAGTCGTTATA